GAAGACATCTTAAAAGTATAATGTAGGTTATTGAGAGGACAGAGTGGTAAAAAAAACAAATTAAGAAACCATCAATGGACATTTCTTCAGTGTGGGAGAGGAAGATCCTCTGACAGACTTTTTTGCAATGTGGTGAGGATAATGTGAAAGTATAGAGACAAGAGTCTCAGCCATGAGGTACTGAGAAAGGGGCCCTGGAGCAGTTAATACCTAGGCTGTTGTCTTAGTCACTGTTCCTTTGTTATGAAGGGACACCATCACTAAGACAACTCTTACAAAAGAAAGCCTTTAATTGGGGTCTTATTTACATTTCAGAGGTTTGGTTAATTATCATCGTGGCAGGAGCATGGTAGGCATGATGCTGGAGTAGTAGTTGAGAGCTATATTCTGATTTGCAGGCAGAGAGAGAGAAAAACACTGGGTTGAGGAGTCATCTTTTAAAAACCTCAAAGCCTACCCACCAGTGACATACTTCCTCCAACAAGGCCACACCTCCTGATCCTTCTAATCCTTTCAAAGAGTTCCACTCCCTGGTGACTCAGTATTCAGATATAGAAGCCTATGGGGGATTCTCATTCACACCAGCACTGCTGTCTTACAGGGCGAGTGGTCAGGTAAAAGTACAGAGCAGAGAGTCCAGTGGATATACAGAGGTCCACAGAGAAGGGCACTCCTGGTCCTCTCAATTTCTCGGTAAGCTCCTTAGTCATTTGTGGAAGGGAGATGGCCCAGCCCTGACAGTATTACATACAACCTTTCCCTCGTATATCTCAAATGATAATCACAATCCTCATGGAGTTTCCTATAGCTGCTGTAAGTAAGTACCACAAACTGGGAGGCTTAAACTACACAAATTTATGGCCTCAAAGTTCTGGAGACTAGAATTCTAGGATCGAGGTGTTGTCAGGTTGGCTCATTGTGAGGACTGTAAGGGAGAGTCTGTTTCGTGTCTATCTTCAACATATTGCTGGCTAGCAGGCACTCACTGGTGTGGCTTGGTTGTAAAGGCCTCACTGTAACCCCTGTCTCCATAAGCATCTGCATTCTGTCTTTATCTATGCACTCTCTTCTTATAAAGAGTATCAGTCTTACTAGATTAGAAAGTTCCCTACTCTAGTATGAATTCATTTGTTGTTGAGACAGAGTCTGTGTTGATATTTGGTCAACAGGAGCTTGAACTCCTGATCCTCCCGTCAGCTATATAAGCCTACAGCAGCAGGCCTAACAAAAAGAGAATTACTGACCATGTTGTTGTTGTTGTTGTTGTTGGTGGTGGTGGTGGTGGTGGTGGTGGTGGTGGTGGTGGTGGTGCACGCCTTTAATCCCAGCACTCAGGAGGCAGAAGCAGGCAGATCTCTGTGAGTTCGAGGCCAGCCTGGTCTAGAGTGAGTTCCAAGATAGCCAGGACGGTTACACAGAGAAACTCTGTCTTGAAAAAGTGACAACAGAGGGCTGGAGAGATGGCTCAGAGGTTAAGAGCACTGGCTGCTCTTCCAGAGGTCCTGAGTTCAATTCCCATCACTCACATGGTGGCTCACAACTATCTATAATTCAATCTGGTGCCCTTGTCTGGTATGTAAGCATAACACTGTATATGTAATAAATAAATATATCTTAAAACAACAGAGAGAGAGAGAGAGAGAGAGAGAGAGAGAGAGAGAGAGAATTCCCAACTTTCTAACCTAAACTGCTTCACTCACGTTTTAATTTAAACCAGAGAGAACAAAGAATTAAGGAAACTCACATTATTATAAATATACCAATTAAAAACATAGGAAGAAAAGCTTAATGTAACACCTTATAAGCTATGTCAAAATTGAATGTTGCCTCACAGGGAGCCCTGGTACCAGAAAAGGGAAATACCTAATGTACATAGGGCCCCCCTCCCCCGCTAGAGCTATAAAACTAAAAGAAACAAAACCCTAAATCAAAGTAACTAATGGAGTGGTTTGAATAAGAATGGCCCCCGTAGGCTCATATATTGAATGTTTGGTTTCCGGTTGGTGAACTATTTAGGAAAGAATAGGAGGCATGTCACAACATCAGGCCCAGTTTTACTTTCTCTCTCTTTGCCCCTCACCTCAAGATCAAGATGTAAGCTCTCAGCTACTGCTCCAGTGCCATACATGCCTGCCTGCTGCCATGCTCCCTGCCATGACCACCATGGACTAACCCTCTGAACTTACAAGCTAAATGCTTTATTTTATGTGTTACCTTGATCATGGTGTCTCTTCTCAGCCATAGAAGAGTAACTAAAACAACTAATAATTTCAAAAATAACGAACAACAAAGAACAAAATCCAGATGCATAAATGAGCAAACTGTATTAGCTATGTCCACATTCCCAGACAATTAGAATGCCTAACACTTGGAATCCTTGTGGTTTCTCTCTGACTTCTACACAGTTGCTTTTATTTCTCCTACTGAATTTCTTGGTTAGATTTTAAAATTAGCATACAGTGCGATAGGTGTCATTATGGTACTTTCATACCTAATTTATTTTTGTAATTCCCTCCAGGCCTTGTGCCCTTCTGCCCCTGGCAGTTCCCTTTCTGCTTTCATGTCACAAATGTTTTATTTCTCTTCCCCTCTTCCATACAGCCTCAATTGCCCCTCTCATGGTTCCCTTTTTATTTCCATGCTACCTATGGTCAAATCTTCATGGACAAAAAAATTCTGTCAAGCAGAGGATACAGCTTGCTGGAGCTTGCTGGAGTGCTCATTTCCACCTCCAGCTGTACCGAAACTGTACTGAGTGTAATGGCACTGGCTGGAATCTTAATCTTAGTTCTCAGGAGGTAGAGGAAGGAGGTTCAAAAGTTCAAGGTCACCTTTGGCTACACAGTAAATTGAGGCCAGCCTGGAATACATCAAACCTTATCACAAAAAAAAATAAAAAATAAAAAGATTCCTCAAGAACCTATCTTTAGCCAGGTGGTGGCGGCACACGCCTTTAATCCCAGCACTCGAGAGGCAGAGGCAGGCAGATCTCTGTGAGTTCGAGGCCAGCCTGGTCTACAAAGCGAGTTCCAGGAAAGGCTCCAAAGCTACACAGAGAACCCCTGTCTCGAAGAAACCAAAAAAAAAAAAAAAAAAACAAAACAAAACAAAACAAAAAAACCCTATCTTTTTCTGCTCTTTTACACAAAATATTCATATTTGGTCAATTTCATCATGGTAGCAGATTCCTTGGCATATTTAGAACCTAACAAACACTTCCTTAGTAAATGTCTTAGTTAAGTAATGGTTTCACAGAATGCTGATCTTTCTCAAAAGATAGTTTCTCACGGGCGGTGGTGTTGCACGCCTTTAATTCCAGCATTCGGGAGGCAGAGGCAGGCAGATCTCTGTGAGTTCAAGGCCAGCCTGGTCTACAGATCGAGATCCAGGACAGGCACCAAAACTACACAGAGAAACCCTGTCTAGAAAAAAAAAAAAGAAAAAAAAAGATACTTTCTCAAAAGTACATTCTAAATTAAAATAAGCATGGCTTAGCTGCTTATACAATGTGATCATGAAGGCTGATCTTTGTGGTGATGAACAATGCTAAACAAATGGATATAGCGAATATACTGTCCAAAACCAATATAAAGTGGCTACATATGTTGATTTCTGAGTAAACAGTAGAAATAAGTGAGCATTAGATAGTTAACATTTATAAATGATAGTCAAGTAACATTGTAGAGCTGGCATCCACAGGCAGAAGATATAAAGTATCGACATAGCTGGGCGGTGCTGGCGCACGCTTTTAACCAGCACTTGGGAGGCAGAGGCAGGCGGATCTCTGTGAGTTCGAGGCCAGCACGGTCTACAGAGTGAGTTCCAGGACAGCCAGGACTGTTTCATAGAGAAACCCTGTCTTGAAAAACCAAAAAAAAAAAAAAAAAAAAAAGAGTATCGACATAAATTACTTCATTGATGCTGCATTTGATCCTTATTTTAGATATTTGATTAAATATATAAATTTTAGAAACATTTCCCCCGCTCTGCTTAACAAAATGGGTTCTGCTGTCTAGATATTTGCTTGCCTTTCCCCAGACCCCGCCTCACCTTCCGAACTCAAATTTTTGGTGTGAAGTGCTTTTTGCTCACAGTAAAATAATTTACTCTGTGCTTCGTTCAAATGTTACTCATTTTCCGCTTTGCAGAATTTAGTAAGCATAAACACATAGCTACCTGGGAACCGCAAAGCATAGACTTCAAAGATCCTGTAATGTCATTATCACTGTTGTTCTGTCTCATGGTCCCAAATGGGTGTTTTTCATTATTTCCTATCCCCTCCATGTGACAGATTTGGTTTTGGGCGCTTTTGATAGCTAAATCGATCTCTCTCGGGCTATTAGATTGGCTCTTTGCTATTTCCCGTTTAAGTTACTATGCCGAGTCTCTAAGTTGCTTAGCTTGCTTTTCCTACGGGTTCGCTTCCTCTTTCCCACTGTCTCAGGCTCTCCTTTCTCTCTTCCTTACATCTTTCTTACTCTCTTACTTGTGAGGGGGTATTTAAATTTAAACCCGGAACTCGGGATCGCGCGCCTTGAACGATGGGAGTCGTAGTTTCTGTGACTAGTGGGTAACCGCCTTTCAGGCGGATACCAGCCCTGAGCGAAACCCCACAAGTCCCAGAATGCACTCGGGTGGGCCCGCCCCCCGCGCGCAGGCGCCCTGGCGCCGCAGGATTTGAATCGGCGGCGTTGTTATTGACGCCATATTGGGGCCGGCGGCGGGTGGCAGAGTTGGTCTGTGGAGAAGGAAGAGGGTCGAGTGCATTGCCCAGCGCTCCGCGGCCGCAGCCACCTCCCAGCCGCCGCGCGTCGCCGCCGCTCGCGTGCTTCGGTCCGCACCGGCGTGTGGGAGACCGCGTTTCGGTCGCGCCCCTGGTCGGGTCCACTTCGGAAGGGAGCCGGTCTCCGCGCAGGAGCCTCGGCGCGCTCAGCCCGAGCGCACGGCGGGGGCGGCCCGGCCTCTCGGCAGCGGCCCCGAGCCGGCGGCGCGACCCTCGCGCCTCGCCCACCTGCCCTGCAGCGGCTGCGCCGTCCCGGGCCCCACACCCACCGGGCACATCGGAGGGCCCGCTTGCCCCCGTCCTTCCCGGCCCCGCCCGAGCCGGGCCTCGGCTGCCCGCCGCCATGGCGTGCGGAGCCACTCTGAAAAGGACTCTGGATTTCGACCCTCTGCTGAGCCCCGCGTCTCCGAAGCGGAGGCGGTGCGCGCCTTTGTCGGCCCCGGCGTCGGCTACAGCCTCTCCTGCGGCCGCCACCGCCGCCGCCGCCGCCTCGGCCGCGGCCGCCTCTCCGCAGAAGTATCTCCGGATGGAGCCTTCCCCCTTCGGCGACGTCTCCTCCCGCCTCACCACAGGTGGGCCTCGGCCCCGGGGCTGCCGGGGTGGGCTGCGGCCGGGCGCTTGGGTGCGGACACAAAGGGAAGGGCCTGAACCAAGGTGGGGGCGGTGTCGGCAGGTTGGGTGGGTGAGGGCCGTGTTGGCCGGCATTATGGGGTAGCTCATTGTGAGGAAGATCGTTTCGGGGCAGGATCGCTGGAATTGTTTCCTCATGTAGAGACCCAGCGGAAATGATCGGAGAGGATGATATTATTTATAAGTCAGGCGAGACAAGGGTCACATTTCACCCGAATCTCCCGGTCTCTTGGGCTGAATCGATTGGTTGTAGCTATTAACTCAAGGGACTGAGTGGTTTGAGGCGAGGAGGCAGCCCCTCCTCCATTTTAGACTTGACTGGTTTTAGTATAGAAGGGGTGGGGCTTGGAGGGGGATGGATGTCACTGGGGCGAGTTGTAGGCCTGTCATTAATCACCCACAAGAACGCCACTTTGGCTGAGTCAAGACCTGTTTCCCTAGCAGGGTCAACAACAAAGCAAATGTTCTTCCCGAGTACTGTAATGTGATCTGGCTATGCGTCTAGTCCTTAAGAAATCTTGAACTTTTAATGAAAAAGAATTTGTACTTCAAATTGGGACTGACTGATTTTATTTGTAAATGCTTTAGTTGTCCCAACGAAAAACACCCTAGCCTCGAGAGTAACGAATATATCAAGATTCCAGTGGACTTCAGACTTGAAGTCTTGAAACATACTCTGAAAGTGACTGCCGGGTGTACCTTCGGTTGCTTTTGTACATCCTGTGTGTACCTAGGGATCTTTTTCCCCTCTGCACTTTGAAATCTTTGTGTGCCCCCCTCCCCACCCCCCCCCACCCCCCGGCACAGCCTTAGGGGACTTTTGTGGACTTGAAGTATAAATCTATTTCCTTTGTATGGCATGTAAAGGTTTGTGAGTGAGTGCCAGAGAGAGAGAGAGAAGGAGAGAGAGAGGAGTGTGTGTGCGCCCCCTTGGTGATATCATCCTTAATGCTTTGATTAACTTAATTAATTTTTTTTCTCAGTAACTCAATTTTAAAAAGAAGGGAACTATCTAGTTCTGTATTTGGTAACTTTCATATGCAATTGGCTTGTCCGAGTGGGTTTTTTTCTTAGTGTCACATTTAAATATCCATACCCAAATCTATGGTGAGACCTCAGTTACCTATTCTTGCTATTAGATATTTGATCTAACTTAGGGCAATACTGTTTTAAGATTTGCAGTCAGTTTTCATAGGAATGCCAAAAATTTTATTTAATGATCATACCTAAACTGTCTTCTACCCCTTATACAGGTATAAAGGCATTCATGATTGATTTGTTTAGATCACTGGTTCTCAACATGTGTCATGACCCCAATCGGGGTGGCATATCAGATATTTACATAACATTCACAACAGTAGCAAAATTACAGTTATGGAGTAGCAACGAGATAATTTTATGGTTGGGGTCATCATAACATGAGGAATCATCACAAACACGAGGTATTAAAGGGTCTCAGCATTAGGAAGGTTAAGAACCACAGGTTTAGACATTACTGAAAAATGAGAACAGAGTGAAGAATGAATTCTTTGGGACACAAATTTTTAATTGTCCTTAATGAAATGTTATCTTTGAGCATTGAAATGGTGCCCTAACGAGGTGCCCTAATGAGGCCATTTCAAAATAGCTGTAACCAGCAATAAATTTCATTGGAAGTAGTGTTAGGTTTGTCAGTTACAGTATATCCCTGTGCAATTAAAATAATCTTGAACACATACATAAAACAGCAGGGAGCTATCACACCTTCCTTTACTTAAAGGGAACTTGTTCAGAGACAATAATGATCCTTCGAATTTGTGGTGTCATTGCTGTCTTTGGAGCAGTGGTTAACATACTTGGCTCCTTGTTATCTCAAACTTCAGTTAGGTAGAGTACAATAGTAAAATGATTAGAATTATTGCTAGTCTTTAAGCCAGCTGATACAGTTCGATCACATCTTGAAACCTAAAATTACATCCTAATTGTTGTTTATAGAGTTTGCTAAGTAGTAAGTGGGTATTTCAGTTAATTTGAATATTAATGTAGAAGATAGACTTGAAAAATGAGGGAGGATTATGGAAGTTTAAATTTGCTAAAATGTACATATTTACTGTGATTTTCAGTGGCACTGTGAATGTATGGTTGAACTTTTTTAGGTTAAAACTAAAGAACTGGAAGTTTATACAGAGCATGTACCATATGCAGCTTGTCTTTATCATTTGTTCTCTTTTTAGCTACCTCATGGTTTCTTCTGATGGTGTTGTTGAAGCTTTGATGTGGCTTAGTAGTAGCTTCAGGAACTTGGGCACTGTTTTAAACCCTGACTGTTATTTTAGACATTCCAAGAAGGTGATTCCAAACTTTGATTTGATGACTACTCTTATTTAAGTCAATGTTTTTCAAACTTGTAACTTAATACTAGAGAAAAGGGCTAGTTGAAGGAATCTAGCTTGTTTTCTTACCCTCAAGACTTGAAACTGTTATGTTCATTAACAGTGGCTTCTGTTCTTGCCCCCTTTTACACATCATATCTCAAGCATGATTTTTGGTGTACCTGGGTTACTGATTCAGAACTGTGCTTTAGGTAGGTTTGACAAACTATGGCCATGTGTCTGTACAGTCTGGGAGGTAGGGATTTTTTTTTTTAAGACATTTTAAAATGGCTGAAAAAGAATAAAAATGATTATTTTATGACATTGAAAAAAATCAAAGGAATTCAAATGTCAGTGCCATGAAAAACAGTTGAGATACAGTTGTGCCTGTCCTCTTCCTTTAAAATTTAAAGTCCACTACAGGTTATCTTGGTCAGGTTGTGGAGAGAGTGTTCTGCCCCAGAATTTATATTTATTGTCTGGGCTTTTTATGCACCCAAATATAGTGTGCCCTCTGGTCTAGGATTATAATTCAGTGTTGCTTAAAATACTTCAGTGTGTAAGAGGGTAGTGGATGGTGAGTGAGGGTGGGTTAGGAGAGAGTCATTTAAATGAAAATGGGAAAATGAGTGCATCAAATACTTATCCTGGAAAGTTGGTGGAAAAGTAACCTAAAGGGAATGAGAGAGGAGACAGAGGGGGGGAGACAGAGTGTGTGTGTGTGTGTGTGTGTGTGTGTGTGTGTGTGTGTGTGTGTGTGTGTGTATTTGAAATGGTCTCATCATGTAGCCCTGGCTAGCCTGGAACTCAGTACTCTGCCTGCCTCTGTCTCCCAGGTGCTGGGATTAAAGGGTGGGTGCCGCTCTGCCCTGCTTTAAATAAGATTTTTTTTTTTTGTTTTTTTTTTTTTTTTTGGTTTTCGAGACAGGGTTTCTCTGTGTAGCTTTGCGCCTTTCCTGGTACTCGCTTTGGAGACCAGGCTGGCCTCGAACTCACAGACATCCGCCTGCCTCTGCCTCCCGAGTGCTGGGATTAAAGGCGTGCGCCACCACCGCCAGGCTAAGATTTTAAGGATGTATTTTTTTCCCTAGTACTTTGAGAATTTAATGCCTACATACATGAAGTGTATTTTGATCAAACACTTAACTCTTCCCAGATCCACCCCACCCCTTTCCTTCTCAATTTCATGTCCTGTCCCCTACCGCAGCACCCCCCCCTGTAAATAACTTATCAGGTGCCAATTTGTGTTGCTTATATATACTCATGGATTTGGGGTCATCCAATGGAGCATGGCTGATCTAAGAGCTTAAAGGTAATTGACTGTTCCTACCCTAGATGCCATCAACTGTTAATAGGTCCTCAGCTAAGGGTGGAGTCTTCTGTATAAATGTTGACTGGCTTGATCTTATGCAGGTCTTGGACCTACGACGACTATTGCTGTAATCCAGTCCTGTCATGTCCGGAAGACATGACTTCTGATTCTGGTCTTCCCTGACATCTGACCTTACTCTTACTTTGCTGCCTGTTCCAAGATGGTCCCTGAGTATTGGTGGGAGGAGATGTGATATGGATCCTTGGTTTATAGCTGAGTCTATGAGTGCTATAGCCATGGGTTGTTGGCCAGATTGACAGTGTCAAGCATGTATTTCTGCCTTGGAGCCAGGAGAAATCATAAACCCAATCAGAAAGCAGGACATTTACTCCCAAGACAGTCATGTCACAATTGCACTCAGGGGCTTGTCATGCCAAACTGATCATTTTTGTAGCTCAGAGTTGACAGCTGGGCAGTGCTGTTGGATGACTTTTCTTTCATAGTAGTCTGTAAAATACCTTCTGTGACTCTGGAAGCTAGCTAACAGGGAGGGGCTTCTGGGTGAGTACCAGCTTGCTCATGTCCTGTGACCAGAGTATTCTGTGTCCTCAGCAGTAGAGTCTTATCCATCAAGTTCTGGAGGACAGCTGATAGCATTGACAATAGTCTGTATCATCTAGGAGATCTCTAGGACACCCCTCTGACAGAGTAAGGGGCTGTATTCCATACTGATACTGGGCTTTTTATTTGGCAACCTAAATTCTTCTTTAATGTCTATATTACTGTGTAACCAAAAGATTGTCATGGCATTCCTAAGAAAGGAGTAGTTTGTTTTTTGAGACAGGGTTTCTCTGTGTAGCAGCTCAGGCTGGCTTTGAACTCAGAGATCTGTCTGCCTCTGCCTCCCAAGTAATGGAATTAAGGGTGTGTACCACCACCGCCCTATGAAAGGAATTGTTTTAATAAGATCAAAATATTATGCACCATTGTAAGAGACTGTCAGTATTGTCAGTCAAATCTAATACGTTGTTTTTGTAATTATACTGTGAATCAATGGTCTGGTGAATGTCCTTCTGTCGATATTGACTTCTTTGTGAGTTGGCTAGTTAACATTAATGTGTACATTGTTTGTAGCTTGGTACCATTGCTGTAGTTTGTTTTAGGAACTGAGTTGGATGAAGAGTTAAATTCCATTGTAAGAACTCATTGTATTCATTGGAAACTTTCCATTAAAAAAATGGAAACTACAGCTTGTGAATGGGGAATAGATTGTTCACTA